CTCAGACATCACTAGAGCAGTGTCCATTGCATCTGCCACTGCATCAATATTCCAAGGGTTAACTCTAATTGCTCCACTTAATGAAGGAGAACAGCCGATAAACTCGGACAAGACTAGCATGCTTTTCTTGGCAGCAGGCGGGTCTAACCCAAAAAGCTTTTCCAGATTTTCATTTCCTTGACGGCTTATTACGTACTCATAAGGCATGAGATTCATTCCGTCCCTAACTGCAGTGACCAAACAACACTCTGCAACTACATAGTAAGCAACCCGTTCAAAGAACTTCAGTGGCTGGTCAATCAGGATAACAGGCTCGTACCCAGGGTTGCCAAACCTTTCGTTAATCCGTTTAACTGCGGAGTAAGTCTCTTCTTGCACTTCCTTCACATCCTTCCCTTTACCCCTTGCAGGATTGGCTATCTGTACCAAAACCACTTTCCCCTGCTTCTCTGGATGCTGCAGAAGCAATTGTTCCATTGCAAGTATCTTCAAACTAATGCCTTTAAATATGTCCATGTCATCAACTCCCAGCAGCATTGTTCTCCCTTGACCATTGAATTGCGATAAGAGTTCCACAACTTTGGCCTCAGTCTCCGGGAGACTAAGGACTCGCTGAAGCTGCCCCATGTGTATGCCAACTGGAAGAATTTTTATACTCACAGTCCGACCGTAATACTCAATGCCTATGTAGCCTCGTTTAGACTCATAGGGTAGGCCTAACATCCGGCTGCAGCAGGAGAGGAAATGTCTGGCATAGTCAAAAGTATGAAACCCAATCAAGTCTGAGTTTAAGAGAGCTCTTAAGATCTCCTCCCTGACAGGCAAGGTCTTGTAAATCTCTGATGACGGAAAAGGACTGTGCAGAAAGAACCCAAGCTTTACTCTATTGAACCTCTTCCTCAAGAAGGTTGGCAGCACCATGAGATGATAGTCATGAATCCATACAAAATCATCCTCCGGGTTGATAACTTCCATGATCCTATCCGCGAAAATCTTGTTCACAGAAACGTAAGCTTGCCAAAGAGAGCGGTTGAACCTTCCCCCTAGATCAGGTGATAGGGGCAGCATATAGTGGAACACTGGCCACAGATGCTGCTTGCAAAACCCATGGTAGTGCCTAGTGAACATTTCGGGAGGCAAGAAGGTGGGAACACACTTGAATGTCTCGAGCAGAATCTGTGAAACCTCATCTTGCTCACTTGGATGAATCTCCTCCTTTAGACAGCCCACGTATATAACGTCCATTTCATCATCACCCAACCCTTCTTTCAGCTGGAGGAGGAGAGAGTTCTCGTCCCAACTGAAAGTCCAACCCTTTCCAGTATCAGTCTTTCTCTGCACCCTTATTGGTAGCTGGTTGGCAACAATGATGATCCTATCCTTCTGTGCAGAAGATGAAGATCGGTCAGAGCACACACTCTCTGATGCATCATCGTCTTCCAAATCAGACATGATGCCAGCCACAGTCATCACACGGGGAATCCGCCGGCTCATCCGACCAAAGGAAGGAGACAGGGCCTCGCCGGAGGCCAGGTCCAAAAGGTTCGAATACGATCTGGACACCATATCCACTTATAACACCACGAATCTTAGTAAACCAAAATCCTTATACTCTCCCCTTAATTCAGCATTAAGAGAAAGACTACCAAACTTAACTCTTGCTTTGTTGGTGCCAAACCGTCTGCAAGAAACCAACCATGGAGTTGAACATAAACATGGAATAAAGTAACACAGAAAATTCGAAACCACACTGCAGAAACGCAGCTCAACAATTATCAAGTTTTCAGAAGCAAAACTGGAAAAAAGGACACTATAATTGCTTTCACTGACAAAACTGGAAAACAAAACAAGGACAACCGAAACCCCAAAAAGGAACTATAATTGCTCTGAAAAAATCAAGAATGCTTGAAGGGATTACCAATTCTAGACAATTTGGTGAAAGCCCTTGAGTGGAAACAAAGAAAGTGAAGGAGAAAAAGAGAAGATGCCTTGTGTAGCCTAAGAAACCAATTCCATTCCTCAATGAGCTCTGTGGCTCATAAGCTAAGAACTGCCCCTTTCAAGCTTTACTCCAAGACAGAGTGTTTTCTTTTTCAGTACAGCAACAAAATTAGTAATTATTAATTCATTCATCAAAGAAGCTGCTTTGCAAAGGGCTAATTAATGAATGCTTGCCTCATTAGTTCTGGAAATAATTGCCCTTCTCCTACAAAACGCACGTTTCTTTCCACTCCCTGTTGCGTCATTTCGATGCTACCATAGACTAAAACGCCCGTTTTTACTTGACGGGGACTGAAATGTCCGTTAAGCACTTGGGGGAATCCGGACACATGTTTTGGTCAAGACTTTATGTGGGGCATATTCGAGAACTAGACTAACATAAAATAAATACTCGGTAAATTGCGAAGAAAATCGTAACGGCTTGAATAAAAAATTTAAAAAGGGGGGAAAGGGAGTACGAGATGCTGCCATATGGATGGTGCCACAGATGCACGCGATTACGTCTTATCCAAAACAAAGAAGTAGAGTGGCCCCACATGACGTCCCTTGTTTTAGACTCAAGGTCTAGTTCAATGGTTAATTGCCCAGTAAGATTATGAATCAGTGAAATTTACACTAAATAGAATTAAAACATAAGTTATTTTTTAATGTAAGACTTAAACTTTTTTATTCACTAAATATGACTAAATAATGTTTAGAGAAAGAATTAATGTCCAGTAATGCTAGACATTTACTTGAATAATGATTAATAAATAATGACCAATGGTCCTACATTGGAAAACAAAAACATATGATCCTATGTTGAGAAAGTCATTATGTTTTAATCCTATTTAGATAAATTCTTCATATGATTACCCTAAATATTCTAGTTTGAGTATAAATAGAATTATGGGTTCTATGATTAATTAGATTAACATTATACATATCATAGGAATTTATATCAGAGTTATTATATTAGGTTTTGAATTATACTTTCTCCGTCCCCCATGTATCTTCCCGTTAGCCCTTTTTATTTGTCCACCTTAGATCTTTTCATTACTTTTTTTAACATTTAAAATATCACAACTACTCCATTTACTTTATTTATTATACGTCACCTATCTCATTTAATACACTCCACGCATTTTCATTAAAGGTATTATGGTAAACTTTTACCTTTTTTCATCTCTCCTTAAAAACGACAAAAAGTCAAAACGAGAAGATCTTAAGGGGACGGAGGGAGAATTTTTCTAATATACTAAAAATTCGTTCTCATCAAATTGTGTTGTGAGTTAAAACTCAATAATTGGTATTAGAGCATGGTTAGGTTGTTCAACACAGGCACAAATTGTGAGAAATTTGTCACCAAGGTTTGCATAGATCTGGATCTGTTGCACAGCCCCAGTAAGACTAGAAGAAAAGGCTCTTGCTCTCTCCTTGATTTGTAGATCTAAGGATGTTACGAACTTTTGCCGCTATATGAGGGCGGCACCTCCAGACAAGAATTATATGAGAGAGGGGGATAGACACTAGAAGAGATACAAGGAGAAATATTTTTACTTACTTTGCATAAACCAACATATAATCATATACTTATAACCAAGGGGGTGGATGAAAACTTCCCCACGTAAAACATGGTGGGTAGTTACTACCACACTAAACCCATGATCTCACCCTATATGACCACACAATAATACTAATTATAATATTATTATAATAATACTAATAATAATAATAACAACAACAACAACATGCAACACGTACTACATAAATAATAACAATAATATTTGCATGAGTGATGCTCATGCACGTAGGTCTCTTAGCCCAAAATGTAATCCTCCAAACAGGCCGGCGCTTTACAAACTCTCCGTCCTCGTCCCAACTCAGGCGTAACAATACCTCCCCCGTCAAAGACCGCCTTGTCCTCAAGGCGGAATTCGGGAAATGTAGCTTGGAGAGTGAGCCAATCCTCCCATGTCGCTTCCGCCGGAGTCATGTTCTCCCACTGGACCAACACTTGAAGTACCTTCTTGCCCGAGATGGGAAAGAGTCGTTGATCCAAAACCCGGACAGGCTGTGGAAAGTGGGCTGCACTTGCTGGAAGGTGGGTGACCGGGACCGAAGTGGGGTTCGGGCACTCCTTCAATAATGAAATGTGTAAGATTGGATGGATTCGGGCTGACTCTAGAAGGACCAATTTGTAAACCACTTTCCCCACGCGAGACTCGACCTTGTACGGTCCATAATAATGTTTGGCGAGCTTTTGGTGTCGGTGCTGATAAAGAGAGTTTTGACGATAAGGCTGCAACTTAACGTACACCCAATCACCCACCTGAAATTCCTTAGCTCGCCCTGACTTATCGGCTTGGCTCTACATGCGATGTTGTGCTTGTTGGAGATGAAACTTAAGCCGGGCAAGTAAAGCCTCTCGATTGAGAAGGGAACTGTCCAACTGCGCCACCATAGAGGTTCTAGCCGTGTATCCAAGCAGTGGAGGTGGGAGACGGCCATACACGGTTTGAAAGGGAGAAAAGCCAGTTGAGCTATTGATGTTAGTATTGTGCCAATACTCTGCCCACGGTAGGATGCCTGCCCTGCGGATTGGGTTCTCACTGACAAAAGCGGGTGATATGCGGTGCTATGTTTGAGTTGGGTACCTTGGAGACGGAAAAGCTCACGCCAAAAGTGACTCATGAACAATGGATCCCGATCGGAGACGATTGACCTTGGAAACCCATGTAGCCGAACATACTCTTGGATGAATCGCTCGACCAAAACTGGTGCATCCATCCCCTTTGGAAGTCCCACAAAGTGAGCATATTTGGAGAGTCGGTCGACGATTACCCAAATGACTGTTCGGCCTTTCAAAGGAGGGAGAGAGGTGATGAAATTCATGGAAATGTCCTCCCAAATCTACTCTGGTATGGGTAATGGCTGAAGCAACCCCTTCGGCCCTTGATTTTCTGGCTTAATTTGTTGACATATTATTGCACATTCCCGGACATGTTTTTTAACATCGACACGCATTCCCAGCCAGTAGAATTCGGCCGCGAGTCATAAGAAGGTTTTGTGCTCCCCAGAGTGGCCTCCCAATAAAGAATCATGAAAGATAGTCAGTAGCGTAGTACGAATGGAACCCCCTGCTGGTACATACAACCGTCCCTCAAAAAATAATAGCCCATTCCGCCACTGGTAACGGCTGTCTTCCGACATCGGGGGCTGCCATCGCCTTGCGACTAGGTCGTCCTTGAGTCCTTCCCAGTTATCTGTGACAACATTGGTAGATGTGGTCGATATTGCTGTCAACGTTGGACTGGGCTCCACCGACCATCGAGATAAGGCGTCAGGGACATTGTTGGTCACCCCTGCCCGGTACTCAATAGTGAATTCAAACCCCAGAAGTTTGGTTAGCCAACGCTGCTGCTCCGGCGTCTGGATGAGCTGGGATGTGAGTTGCCGAAGGCTCTGGTGGTCGGTGATGATTACAAATGGATGTCCCAATAGGTACAAAAGCCATTTCCCCATGGCAGCGGTTATGGCATACCTTTCCTGACTATACGTGGATGCCTTCTGGTAGCGGGCTAGTAGCACCTTACTGAAACAAGAGATGGGGTGGCATTCTTGGGAAAGCACAGCTCATATGGCAGTACCCGATGCATCTTTCTCGACGGCAAAAGTCCGGTTGAAATTAGGTAATTGAAGCACCGGTGTGGTGGTCATCGCGGCCTGGAGTTCACAGAATGCTCGTTCCGCCCCCTCGTCCCAATTGAATCCCCCTTTTTTAAGAGGTCGGTCAGTGGTCTCGCAATTGAAGCATAGCCTCTCACAAATCTTTGGTAGTACCCCGTCAGCCCCAAAAACCCACGCACGGCAGTGACTGTTTTGGGCATCGGCCAGTCCATTATAGCTCGGATTTTCTCGGGGTCAACAAACACCCCCTTTTCTGAGATGATGTGGCCCAAGTACTTTAGGGAAGATTGCCCGAAGCTGCATTTAGACTCTTTAACATATAACTTGTGTTTGCACAAAGCCTCTAAAACCAAAGTCAAATGTCGGGTATGTTCCTCCACTAAAGAGAGCTAAATACCAAGATGTCATCTATAAAAACCAACACAAATTTTCGGAGGTATGGTTTGAAAACCTCATGCATGGTCGACTGGAAAGTGGCCGGAGCATTAGTGAGACCGAATGCCATAACGAGAAACTCATAATGCCCCTCGTGTGTGCGGAATGCCGTTTTTGGTATATCGGGGGAATGAACCCGAATCTGATGATAGCCACTTTGGAGATCCAACTTCGAAAAGATGACTGCACCATATAGTTCATCTAGTAGCTCATCAACCGTTGGCATCGGGAATCGATGTTTGATCGTGATTGCATTCAAAGCACGATAGTCGACGTAGAACCGCCATGTGCCATCCTTTTTCTTTACTAACAATACCGGGGAGGAGAAGGGGCTCGTGGAGGGACGGATAACCCCTTCCCGAAGCATGTCTTGGACGAGGCGTTCAATCTCATTCTTTTGGAAGTACGGGTAGCGATATGGTCACACATTAACAGGCTTCGCTCCGGATATTAATGGAATTTGATGGTTGTGCGGACGGTCAGGTGGCAGCCCTTTTGGAACTTCGAACACCCGTGCATATGTGTGAAGTACATCTTGGAGAGACTTCGAGAGTGGGACAGGTGATCCTGGGCATGACACAGTGGTTGATTGGATTATGAAGCCTTGCGCCACTGATTTCTTCCGGCATAAACGGGTAAATTGGTGGCAGGAGATAGGTGTCGGGGTGGAGTTCGGGTTCCCCTTCAATAATACTGGAATTCCATGGTTAGATTTCTGTGATCCCTCGTAACTCGTCCCAACGTCTCCAACCACTCGATGCCAAGAACGACATCGGCTCCTGAAAATTGCAGGGCATGGAAATCTGCCACAAACAAGGACTCTTGAAGATAAAAGGCTACCTGGCGTACCGTTCCCTCACTATGTAGCGTGCACCGTTTCTGACCGCAACTTGGAAACTATCCTCGGCATCCAACTCTAGTCGTAGGTGCTTGACAATCCGAGGTTGGATGTAGTTGTGTGAACTCCCCGTGTCCACCAGTGCGGTGAATTGCTGCCCTTGAATTGTGGCGTAGAGGCGAAATGTCCGAGGCCCTTGGATTCCTTCAAGTGCATGAAGCGAAATAGCCGGAACATGATCGTTATCCCCTCCCTCCTCGGAAGCCATTGATCCATCTTCGGGGAGGAATGCATGTAAGCACTCCGGTTGCTCCGTGGTTCCTCCTCCTCGGGGTCAACACTAATAGTAAAAACTGTTTGTTTGGCCGACAGCGATGTCCCGGAGTATACCTCTCATCACAATTATAACATAATCCTTTGGTTCGGCGTGCTTGCATCTCCGTAAGTGTGAGTTTTTTGATAGGAAGGGAAGAACTCATTCGGCGATCATGATTGGAGCTTGGGTTTGAGGGTAGTGGCAATAGCGGTTTTGTTTGGTGTGGATTTTGGACGTGAGGGTTTGATGGTGGGGGGTGGGGTTTGTTAAAGTTTGAGGGGGTAGAGTGGTAATTTGGCCAAGTGGGACGTTTGGGGTTAGTAGTGGCAGCTTGTTTTTCCTCTACTAATTTAGTCAACCTTATGGCATTGGCTAGGGTAGTGGGCTTGAGGATATTGAGTTCGGCTTGAATGTTCACGTCGGATTGAGTCCCGAGATAAAACAATCCAAAATGGCTTGGGGTGACAAATCGTTCACACAGTTGCACACCATCTCAAATTCCTCTTGAAACGACGTGACTGTGGTGTGTTGAGAGAGCTTGAACAATGTTGCTCGGTGGTTCACATAAGTGGACGGACCGAAGCGTTGTTCTAACGCGGTTGCAAACGCTCCCCATGATGACAATTGTTGGTTCCGATGCATCCATTTGTACCAAGACAATGCGGGACCCACCATGTAAAAGCTCTCCCGATCGATTCGTTGTTCCTCCGGGATGTCCTAGAATGAGAAATACTTCTCGGCTAGGAATATCCAGTCAAGAGGATTACTTCCATCAAATGTAGCCAACTCACATCAGGGAAGTTTTGGTTGAGGGCGAAGTTCGGGCGGTGGTTGACGGTGGGGAAAATGTTGCTCGTGGTTCATGGTGAGTTGTTGAATTTGCGCCGTTAAGGTAGTCAAGGTGGTGGCGATGGTGGTCTGCCATTCTTTGGTCTCCGTGTTCTCCGCTTGAAGTTGATGTAGTTGTTCTTCAAGTGCGCGATAGCGAGTGGCCATTCCCTCGGACGTCATCTCTCAACAAGAGCACTAAATTGTTACGAACTTTTACCGCTATATGAGGGCGGCACCTCCAGAAAAGAATTATATGAGAGAGGGGGATAGACACTAGAAGAGATACAAAGAGAAATATTTTTACTTACTTTGCATAAACCAACATATATAACCAAGGGGGTGGATGAAAACTTCCCCACATAAAACATGGTGGGTAGTTACTACCACACTAAACCCATGATCTCACCCTATATGACCACACAATAATACTAATAATAATATTATTATAATAATAATACTAATAATAATAATAATAATAATAACATGCAACACGTACTACATAAATAATAACAATAATATTTGCATGAGTGATGCTCATGCACGTAGGTCTCTTAGCCCAAAATGTAATCCTCCAAACGGGCCGGCACTTTACGAACTCTCTGTCCTCGTCCCAACTCGGGCGTAACAAAGGAGCAGCGCCGCTGAAGAGAACCTAGGTTGTGTCGCGCAAGAGAGATATATTCTTCCATCAGATCTAAAGGACGTGCGCGCAAAGGGAGTTCGCCGCTAGTCCTGAACCGTAGCGAGGAAGCTTAGCCGTTGCATCGAGTAGGGATCAACGTCACCGGAGGGTAGGAGAGCGCAGGAGGAAGAGGTAGATCGACGTCACCATTCACGTGCAGTCAAGCCGTGCACCGGCACAAGTTCAACTCCGCCACCACCGTCCGTCGCGCCTTCATCCAATCAGAATCGTTGTCGATGAGTTGGTTCTGCAACCATCGCCTAATTGAAAGTCGTGCAAAGTTGCCAGGAAGAAAAAGAGGGGTTGCTACTTGCAAGCTTTAATTTGGTGGTTTGGGTAGGCTGAAATTAGTGTGGTGGGCCTGATTTTTGGAAAAAAAGGATTAGATTAAACAAATAAGGTTTTATCAAACTTGCTCTAAACTCAAGTATTGGATCCCGTCACACCACTCATTGCGTACAGTCGGTGCAAGAAAAATATGACAGAATCCTAGACACCACAATCGAAGGTTAAGGGAGTTAGACTTACATCTATCCAATGTCGCATGCTAAATGCTATGAACTACACCGTATGGGCCATGAGAATGAAAGTCGTCTTAAGGGTTCATAAGTGTTAGAAAGCATTTTCACATTGATGTTTTGTTAATGACAATGTTTGTTTCCATTTAGGTTTTGATATTGACAAACCGTCGGGAACATGGGACAAAATGAAAAGATTCAAAGTCATAGAAAAAGCTCTTTGAAGGAACAAAAAGCACAAGAAAGGCATTGACATTTCTAAAGACGACGACATTGGCGTTTTGAAGATGTTGTCTAAAGACTTAGGTTTTTATTGTAACAAGCTCATTCAATTTCTCTACGTCATGGCTCAAAACAAAATATATATGTTTTTCATGCATCAAATGAGTTTTTTCATAAATTGTTTTGAAGTTTCTAGAACCCCTGGTTCTTGACCAACCAAAACCATAATCATCGGTTATCGGCGTCCGGCTATGGCGTTCAGTTTTCGGCATTGGTTATAAGAATTGATTTTAGCCAAATGGTTTTTGGGTTTTTATCTTTGGTTTTTGCTTCTGGACACATTTAAAGGTTTTCCAATTTATTAGTTTTCAAAAACCATAACCTTTAATTTGTTTTCCGGCGTTGGTTATCGGCATTCGGCGCTGGTTATCGGTGTTGGTTTTTGGCGTCCGAATCAACCAAGTGGGTTTTAACTTTTTATGATTGGTTTTTACTTCTGGGTATATCCAAATAGTCTCCAACAAAAACATGTTAAAAACTACCTTTCGTTTATGGTCTTTTGGCAAAAACCATATGAAACCATTATGGAAGGGTTAAGATTTTACTTATTTATTTCATCCCCCTTCTTATATAAAGGGGGTTTGGGTCTTTGTAATCAACCTGAAACACAGAATTTACAAAATAATTTCTCCACTTATTTTTTTCTACATGGTATGAGAGCTAGGTTCTTGGTGACCTAAATTTTTTTGTCTTCACTGCTAGCCATTAGCCGCCCACCGGGCAATTCTTCTTCCCCTAATCCGAATTCCTTACCACCACCAAACTTTTCAAATAGACAACACCTCAAACCTAAACCCTACCCATATTGAATCACAAGAGACACCACCATTTCATACTCTTTCCGCCATCACCTTGCCACACAAACAAATCCATAATTGGTTTGTGGCAAGTGTCGCACCATTGTCAAGGTCTCACTGGTTGTTGCAAGTAACTCCCGTACGTCAGCCTTATATGGATGTTCCTTCTCAACGAAGAACATGGATAACGAAGAAATCATCGAACAAGAGTTGTTCTACAGAATGAGGACAATTTCTTGAAGGTGATTTAAAACAAAATTGTATTCAAGGTATTCGAAAAGAATGATGTTGATCTTGTCCCTTTGAATACAATGGAGGTTCGAAAAAGAACGACAATCCTTTACTCGATAATTATTCGCCGATTCGAAAAGAGTGACGTCTCCATCAAAGAAGAAGGAAAATCATTTGTTGAAGTATATATCCAGATTATAGTTCAAATACATGAACAAAGATCGTATGATTATGTGATGTCTAAGCTGGGCACTCGTACTCTTCATGCTCCAACTTGGGGGGGGGGGGGGGGGG